TCTCTCTCTCTCTCTTTCTCTTTCTCTCTCTCTCTCTCTTTCCTCCTTCCCTCTCTCTCTCTCCTCCTTCCCTATCCCCATCCCCATCCTTATCCCTATCCACTTCCCCTCCTCCCCCCCTTCCATACCTCCTATCCTCTTCCCTCCCTCCTTCCCTCCCTCCTTCCTTTCTTCCCTCCTTCCCTCCCTCTCCCCTACTTTCTCTCTCAAGCTGTTCATTAATGTGGTATAATGAAATTCATTGATGACATTATACTGTAGATACATGAAACAAATGCAACTGACATAAATGTGACCTGTCTCTGTAGAAATGTATTAACCCTATATAACTGGAACCTTGAAATGCTGGATTGCTTTATTATGTTGAACATTTTTTGTATTTCATGAGAAACAGATATTGACACATTTATGTTGCAATTTATTGAGAAATGCTTTCTTTGGCAATTCAAAATATGGAAGACTGGACGGAGAGGCAAAATCCTGATTCAACTGTTCCTCCTTCTAGCATATCATGTGGTTTCCCCAGATATAAAGGGTTAGAATATGGCTATAGAGTCTATATATCATTCCTTTTCTCTTTTCCTATATCCAGACATGTAAGGCATTGCTTCCAAAAGTACATCCATTAATAGAAGAGTTAGCCAGTGCTCTTGCAAGAAGTGGCACCAATGCCAAGTTCCCATTGGGCGAGTTTTGGAGGACCAACTTTTACTCTCGTTTACATTCCTTTTCCAGTGAAGATTTACAGCTAGCTCTAATTTTCCTCAAGGTAATGTATTGCCTATTGTCATTTGAATAAGAAATAATGGGCATAACTAGAGGAACAACAGCCTAAGTTGATACCTTCAACATATCCTTAGTAGCTGATACCATTTTTGCAAGCCTTTTCTCCCACAGTTATAATCTTCTTATTGGGAGAATACTTTTTTTTTATGAAAGTTCTAGTATTTGGGAGTAAAATTATTTTTACTGTTCTCCAGTTTTGGCAGTTATATACCAATTTATATTAGTAAAGCTGAAATCAATTATGTTTTAAACATCATTTTCACAGCCTTCTATTAAATGTTTGTGTTTCAGATTCTTATACCCAAATTGAAGAGAAAGTCTGAGGTATCAACAATATTAGGAGAAAAGGTGATCACATTCCTGCTCAGAAATGCCAATTCCAATAAAGTTTTGAAGGCGGCACTCCCAGACTTGAGCAAAGTACTAGAACAGTTGGTTCAGAATCATGAGGACAAGGAAGAGTAAGTAATCCTTTGGGTATATTTTTTTTTGTTTTTATTTTTTCTTTGAAAGCTGTTAGTCATACGTAGCAAATCTTTATAAAATTTACATGTTCCTTTATTCATCTGGTGAATACAAGGGAATGTTATTAAACATACTTAGTTCTTCATGGCTGCTACACCATTTAATAAAGATAAAAAAAAACAAGAAATTTTAAATTGAAAGAGAAGCTGTAGACACAGGACTTCAGATTACATGGAATTGTTAAACTTTCTTTGAAACTGGACAGTGTTTATTGTGACAATTCTAGGAAAAGTTTTGAGTGAGTTTTAAAATTATCATAGTGCAAGTTATGTATCTGGCAAGTTTTAATTATATCATCATCAGTACTATACTGTATTTTTGATGAAGAACTGTATGTCAGGATGTAAGTGTACGAAGACTTGATTTTAAATGGACATTTACTAATGTCACCAGGATCAACATGACGTTTCATTCTGTGTATAGTATTCCTTTTGTGTTTACTTTCCAGGGAAGTCCAGTTGGCTGTTGTTGAGGCATTGATTCTGCCTCCAGGCACTATACAGTTTGATTCAGTGACTAAAACCAACATGGTGCAGAGGACTATTAAGCATTTGACAGCCTCAGATGTCAAGAAACTTGGCGACTATATCACAAAGCGTATAATGGTAAGTATTGACAGTTTGTGTTAATACACAGAGCTGAGGTGGATATTCTTTTCTTTTCTTTTCTTTTTTAAGAAAGATTAATAGAGAGAACGACTGTAAAATTGTTTCTTAAGCCAGTACCGATGAGAGCTTCACGCACCAAACTAGACCATATGCTGGGTGCCACACACAGTCAGTTGCTCAATGGGAAAATCAGAAGCATAGGAAACTTTGGGTATAACATATGTGATTGTCCTGTGACTTATGATGAAAAGTCATTTTAGCCTAGTTTGATGGACTTTAGATCTAAAATTGCTGCAGTAATGGGTAAATAAGGTAACAGCTGTGTAGTGCACACAATTTAGAGTGGCTCGACACCCATGCCACTCGGAAAGGTATCCAGTCATGCCATAGCATGTATATGTATACCATCTGTGAATGAGGTGTTAGAAGTAACCCTTTTGTTTAAGACATTTACACCAGATACCATCTAATCAAATCAGGCCAAGCAGCACCAGATGCTGGTTGACTAAGCCTAGCACCAATGTGCCATTGCAAGTAAAGCAGTTATTTGGTTGTTTGGCCCAGAATACGATTGTGGTCATTGAGGAGATTTATTCCCTAAGATGAGTTTGTTTTGAAAAACTAGTTATGCTGAAATAAAAAGTATGATGAGGTAAATGTATGTTTCCTGTGCTTCTAATTTTTTACTTGAGTAGCTGGCCGTACATATAGCCCAGAATGCGGCTTGGTTGGGGCATGGAAGTCCCACACCTGAATGGGTTAGAGTTATATGTGATTTTTTATTTCTTATATTAATACAACCTAAAATGTTTTTCCAATTCTTTTATAAACAATTTCAATGACATACACCAAAGATATTGAATTATTATCATACATGAAGGCTTGTCAGCTTGCTGTATAATTTCATAAACTAAAAAAAGAAAAAAGCTCACATATTAATTACAGGAAATAGGTCACAGGGACTCAAAAACATACATTTGACAGTCCCATATAACAAGCGAATTTGAAGTACCATACAAATCATGGGTGTAACAAATATGTTGATTTTACCATAATACCAAGTAAACTGGATAATTTACCTGAATTTGCGGTTTTAACAAACAGGGCAAGGATGATCAAGAAGGGATGTATGCCGAAGTCCTGGCCCTCCTATTAATGAATCCAAAGATCAAGGAAGACGTCGCCTGGAGGACAGAACAACTGAAAACACTGATCAAAGCTACGCTGGTATCACAGAAAAAGAAGACCCATTATCTCAGAAATACCCTGATTCAGTGAGTCCAATTCATATTGTCTTCCTTTAGAAAGTGTTGTGGATTTTTCCGTCACATTCTCTTTGGATTTTTTGCATTTTCCTTTGTAGGGATTTCTTTTCTCTTACATTATCATATATTTATTTATTATTATTATCATTTAGTTTTATTGTTTTTTGCAGTTTTTTTTCTTCTAATTTTCATTTGGAGGAGGATGTTTTTATTTTGATTTTCGTTTGTTTATTTTTTTCTTTTTAATATTCTTTTATTACAATGTTTTTCCTTCTTTTATATTTTCTTTAAGAGAATCATGTTAAGTTTTTTATATTTTCTTTGGAATAAAAATTTTTATTTTCCCCATATCTCTTTTACTATGTGGATATTTAGTGTATTCTTAAGGCCTTTGTTGCTGCCTTTTAAAACCTGATACATCTGTTTCAAAAAGTTAAAAGTTTATATGTTACTGATCATGATCAAACTTCCGGTATGTATTGATTATTAGAGATTTTATATAATCTTATTTAAGTAAGTAGGTGAATCAGATAACAAGTTTTATACATGTTTTTATTTCTCTCTTTCACAGAGGACTTTATCAGGAATTACAGAGGGCTCCGTCTGCTTTGGCATTTTTGAAACCAATTGTTGATTTCACTCTCAAGGAGATAGAGGCTTGCACTGAAGACAACGGTTTGGTCAGTCCGCAGAGCAAAGAACTGTGGGATAATGTCAAGAAAAAAATTGCCACATTGAATTCTAAACAAGGAAAATGGCCGAATAATAGTAATCAGGTTCTGAAGGTAATTACTTTTTAGATGATTGTTTATGTATACAGATATATAGATAGATAGATAGATATAATATAATATGTAGAAGAAAAAAATTTGATGTTTTTAGCATTTGATAATTGTTGCATCATACCATTTTCTTCATGTTTATTTTTTGCTTGTACAAATGCTTCCTTGTTGATTAAATCCATAGATATCAAGTAATAGGAACTAATACCATAATGCTGTAATTCGGCAACTTGATTTATACGATTGGAAAAAAGATAGAATAAGCACATAAAATCTGGAGGGTACACTACTTGCCCTTGGAATTAACCCATGAAGTGAGTGCTCATTATTTTTCGATATACCATGTACAAGTATCATGATTAGTTTCCCATGAATTTTTTAGTCCAAGCTTAATTATAAACATCAAGGACACCACACGGGCAAAAAATCAAGCTTAGCTTAGTAACAGGTGAGTTTTTGCACCTTGACCCAGTAATTCAAGTAGTCAGTTATCCCAACCTAGAATATGATTGTTTCTTTGTTACAAAAAAAAAAAAATTTGCATACCTACAGGTGCTGTACTATGCCATGACTTTCTACATCATGCAAGATTTCATTGGAGCGGGTAAGCTCATGGAAAAGCTCGATGAATGCCTCAGTGTGGCGCAGGAGCAGGGATCTAAAAAAGCTACAAAAGAAGAATTGCCTTGGGTGGTCACGGCAACAGAGTTAATCCTAAACTATGCTCCGAGTGACAGCACATTCATCAGGACTGCTGCTCAGTCTGCTTTCAAGTAAAGTATCTTTCAAAAGTATTTAATTTGCAAAATACTTTTTCTTTCTTTCTTTCTTTCTGTTTCATTTTTTCCACATCATTTTCTTTCCTTGCTTATCATTTTGGATTTCTTCTTCCTTTGTTCCTTTTTTTGTGGCATCAATATATATATATTTCAATTTCTCTCTCTCTCTCTCTCTCTCTCTCTCTCTCTCTCTCTCTCTCTCTCTCTTTCTTTCTCTCTCTTTTTCTTTCTCTTT